ATAAATTTTTAGATGTGTTGCTATATTCTGATTGCTAATATTTTGTTGAAGATTTTTGCATCTATGTTGATAAAGGATATTGGCCTGTAATGTTCTTTTTTTGTTGTATCTTTGTCTGGTTTTGGTATCAGTGTGATGCTGGTCTCATAGAATGAGTTTGGGAGAATGACTTTTGTTTCAAATTTTTGGAATAGTTTGAAGAAAACTGGTATGAATTCCTCTTTATATGTCTGAAAGAATTCAGCTGATAAGCCATCTGGACTTGGGCTTTTCTTTGTTGGGAGATTGCTGATTACTGCTTCAGTCTTGTTGATTGTTATTGGTCTGTTCAGGTTTTCCATCTCTTCTTGATTCAGTCTGGGTTATTTGTATGTGTCCAGAAATTTATTCATTTCTTCCAGGTTTTCATATTTGTTGTCATACAGTTGTTTATAATAGTCTCTAATGATTCTTCATATTTGTGTGGTATTGGTTGTAATGTGTCCGTTTTCATGTCTGATTTTTGTTATTTGGGTGTTCTCCCCCCACTTTTTTTTGTTTTGTTTTTTGTTAACCTAGCTAATGGTTTGTCTATTTTATTTATCTTCTCAAAAAACCAACTTTTTGTTTCATTGCTGTTTTGTATCATTTTGGGGGTCTCTATTTTGTTTAGTTCTGCTCTGATCTTAATTATTTCTTTCTGTCTACTACCTTTAGGATTGGGTTGTTGTTGTTTTTCTAGTTCTTTGAGGCATAGTATTAGGTTGTTTATTTGAAGTCTTAACATTCTTTTGATGTAAACATTTATTGCAATAAACTTCCCTCTTAGTGCTGCTTTTGCAGTATCCCACATGCTTTGGTATGATGTATCTTTATTTTTATTAGTTTCAAGAAAATTTTTGATTTCCTGTTTAATTTCTTCTTGGACCCATAGGTCATTCAGGTGCCTATTGTTTAGTTTCCATGCATTTGTATAGTTTCCAGGGTTTTGCTTATTGATTTCCAGTTTTAGTCCATTGTGGTCTGAAAAGGTACTTGGCATGATTTCAGTTTTTTAAAAATTTGCTGAGACTAGATTTGTGACCTAGTATGTGGTCTGTCCTGGAGAATGTTCCATGTGCTGATGAGAAGAATGAATATTCTGTAGTTGTTGGGTGAAATGTTCTGTATGTATCTGCCAGGTCCAGTTGGTCTAAGGTATACTTTAGATCCTGTGTCTCTTTGTTGATTTGTTGCCTGGAAGATCTGTCCCATAGTGAGAGAGGAGTGTTCAGGTCACCCACTAATATCATATTAGGGTCTGTTTCTTTGAGTCTTAGAGTGTTTGCTTTATATATCTGGGTGCTCCAGTATTGGGTGCATACATATTTATGATTGTTATGTTTTCTAGCTGGATAGATCCCTTCTTCATTATATAGTAGCCTTCTTTGTCCCTTTTATAGTTTTTGGTTTAAAGTCTATTTTATCTGATATAAGAATAGCTACTCCTGCTCATGTTTGTTTTCCATTTGCATGGTATATCTTTTCCATCCCTTCACTTTTAACCTATGTGTGTCTTTACAAGTGAGATGAGTCTCTTGAAGACAGCATATACTTGGGTCTAGCTTTTTAATCCAATCAGTCAGTCTGTATCTTTTGAATGAGGAGTTTAATCCATTCACATTTAGGGTTGTTATTGACAGGTATTGTTTAACTCCTGTCATTTTATTGCTTTCTATTTAAATGTTTTAAATATCTTTTGTTCATTACTTCCCCTTTTATTTCTCTTTTCATTGTTAGTTGGAAATTTGAGGTGACATGATTTAGCTTCTTTCTCTTTCTCATTTGCATTTTTGTTTTAAACAGTGGGTTTTGCTCTTTCTTGTGTATCCATGATAGTGATCATCATCATTCAGATTCCAGATGAAGGACTCCCTTCAGAATTTCTTGCAGGGCTGGTCGTGTGGTGGTGAACTCCCAGAATTTTTATTTGTCTGGGAAATATACTAATTCTCCCTCATTTCAGAAGGAGAGCCTTCCTGGGTATAGAATTCTTGGCTGACAATTTTTTTCTTTCAGTATTTTGAATATATTATCCCACTTTCTTCTGGCCTATAGGATTTCAGTTGAGAATTCTGCTGTTAGTCTGATGGAGTTTCCCTTATAGGTGACTTGACACTTTTCTCTTGCTGCTTTTAGAATTCTCTCTTTGTCTTTGAGCTTTGCAAATTTGAATATAATGTGTCTTGGAGATCTTTTTGGATTGAATCTGTTTGGAGACCTTTGGGCTTCCTAGATCTGAATGTCTGCATCTCTCTCTATGCCTGGGAAGTTTCCTGTTATTATTTCCTTGAATAGGTTTTCAGTGTTTTTTCCTTTCTCCCCTTCTGGAAAACCCATGATTCAGATGTTTGAGCTCTTGAGGTTGTCTGCTAGCTTTCTTAGATTTCCTTCATTATTTTTAATTCTTTCTTTCTTTTTTTTTTTTTTGGTCAGCCTGGGTTATTTCAAAAAGACCATCTTCAAGATCTGAAATTCTTTATCCTGTTTGCTCTAGCCTGCTACCCAAGCTCTCTGTTGTGTTTTTTTATTTCATTGAGTGAGTTTTCATTTCTAGGAGTTCTGCTACATTCGTTTTTAAAGTATTGATCTCTTTATAAATTTCCTCCTTCATATTCTGAATATTTTTTGTTTCATTGTGTTCTCTAATTGAGTCTTCTCTTATCTTTTTGAGTTTTCTTCAGCTCATTGCTTGGAATTCCTTTTCAGACATTTCAAGGGTTCCCTGTTCTATGGGGTCTAGAACTTAAGCATTACTGTACTCCTTCAGTGGTGCCATATCTTCTTGTTTGTTTGTAGTTCCAGTATGTTTTTGTTGATGTTTGGTCATCTGATAGAGGACTTGCTTCTTCTGTTACTCTGGGGTTGACTCTGAGAATAAAGATTTCCTCCTCTATTTGCAGGCTCTGCTGGTGACTCTTCTTTTATCATTGTAGTCAAGTGTGTTGCAGGTTGCCTGTAGAGTGGCCCTGGGTGCTACTGTGGTGGTGAACCATCCTTGTGGTAACCGTAGGTGTGGTGGTAGCTATGGTACACCACCTTGACTCCTGTTCCAGCAGTGAGCAGGGCTTTCTGAGGCTAGAGTCTGGGTCCCCAAAGGTATGCAGGGCTCATCTCACCTTGGCCAAATTTTGTTTTTTATTTTGGTATTAGAGTTGTAACTCCTGCTTTCTTATTGTCTACATTTTCCTGGTAAATATCTTTATTTTTCACTTTTTTGAATCACTGCTTTCTAAGTATATCTCTTAGATTCAGTATGGGTTTGAATTTTGCTTTATGAGCCATTTTGAAAATCTTTTTGTTTTTTAATAGATAAGTTAAAATTCTTTATGTTATTAATGTGACTATTATGTTTGGTCTCAACTCTATCATATTATCTTATGTTAAGATTACGGTATATGTTTATGTAATACTTGCTGTGTTTCTCCATTTGGTGAGTCCTCTTTGCCTTTCAACAAATTTCTTTTGGCATTTAGAAAAGTTTTATTTTATTTTAGTTGCTGTCTTTCTATTTATACTTTTAGTAATGGCCTTAATTCCCTTTTTTCTTACTATACCTTTTACTGCCAGTTTTAAATGGTGTCCTTTGACTGCCGCCTGTTATCTAGACAACAGACAGTGTACTTAATTTACTTTCCCCCAACAACTGCTTTCTTTCCTGTCCCTCTGTTTTTGCCTTTTCCAGGTAGCCATATATATTTGAGATTTATCAGCATAATATATTTGATATTTATCCAGGTTATTGCATGTACTAGTAGTTGTCACGTGATCCTTTTAACTGCTGAGTAGTATTCCATTGTGTGGTATACTATGGTATTTCTTTTATCATTACACAAGGTAATCATATTTTGTGTCCCTTTACCAATTTTTCCTTAACACTCCTCCCCCTTTCCCACCTCTGGTGGCCTCAGTTCCTTTCTCTCCTTTTGAAAGTAGAAGGAATTTTTGTGATTGTTGTATTTTTCTTCCTTTTTTTTTTTAAAATCTCCCACTTAAGAGTGAAGACGTGATACTTCTCTTTCTATTCCTGGCCTATTTCACTTAACATAATGTTCTCTAAGTGCATCCATGTTGCTGCAAAAGGCAGAATTTCATTCCTTTTTATGGTAGAGTAGTATTCCATTGTGTATATATAACACTTTTTTTTTCCTTATCCACTCATCTGCTGATGGATACTTAGGTTGGTTCCATCTCTTGGCTATTGTAAACAGAGCTGCAATAAACATGGAAGTGCAGGTATCCCTTCAACATGATGATTTCCATTCTTTTGGGCATATACTCAGCAGCAGGATTGTTGGATTATATTTTTAAAAAATGATTATAGTCTCACAAGTAGTTGCAAAAATAGTACAGTCTCTCACATATCCTTCCTCAGCCTCTGCAATGGCAATATCTTACAAACCAGGAAATTGACATTGGTACAATACAATTAACTAGTTTATAGGCTTTATTCAGATTTCATGAATTTTTACATGCACTCATTTGTGTGTGTGTGTATGTATGTGTGTAGTTTTTTTACACACCACACACACCACCATTACAATCAAGATACTGAATTGTTCCATTAGCTCCAAAGAACTCAGACCCTCATGATACCTCTTTATAGTTGTAGTCCTCACCTTCTCCATCCCCATCCCCTTGCAAACACTAAATTCTTCTCCATGTCTATAATTCTGTCATTTTGATGATGTTATGTAAATGGAATCATACACAGTATCTAACCTTTTGAGATTGGCTTTTTTATTCAGCATAATGCCCATGAAATCCATCCAAGTTGTTATACATATCAATAGTTCTTTTCTTTTTATTGTTGAATGGTATGAATGTACCACAGTTTGTGAAAACTGAGTGAAAAAACACATTATATCCATTTTCCTTTACAGAAGCTGGGGAAAAAATGTTTTAGTTTTGCTAAGGTAATTCTAGAATTATAACAATAGTTGAGTTAAAATATTAATCTGCATGATTTTTCTCTCTTATAGGAATCTTTGCTATAGAGATTTCTGACACACGAAAAGATTCTTCACATCCTTGAGAAAGGTCAAAGTTACAAACTGATTTTTTTTTTTTTTTGCTATATGATTGCATTTATCTTTTGAATGCTTGACAATGTTAAATGTATTTATAACTTTGTGCCTCTGAATCTCTGTTCTCATGCGCCATATTGCAATGATCTGAGATGACTTACAAAAACAAAAATGCATATGGCTCTTTCTATCCATACAGTAATAGTGAGTGTAAAATCTGCTTACTTCACTATTGAACACTGTTATGTTAACTATCCTGAGTAAAATAAAGAAGCTTATAAAAAGAGAGAAAAGTGTTTTTACAAAACTGATTTCCTTTTCTTTCTTGGTATCTCAAATAATTGGTTGGTTAAATTTTTTTCTTTGTGATTTATGCTTTCATGGCTGAAGGAGTTGTGCCAAAATGGGCACAGTTTGCTGATACTGGCCTGGGACCCAGTATTCCATTTTGGAACCAATTTGACATAAATTCCATGCCATAATCTGACTTCAAAGCAGCAGAAAGTAGGAGTGTGTTAGGGTTTTTAAATCCATAGTATTGTACCACTCAAAGACTAACATTTTCTACAATTGTGTTTACTCCTACTTTTTTATAGAAAGGTAGGTGATAATGTATCTGTCAAGAATGTAAGATTTTTAAAAATCTGTATTTTTAATAAGTTTTCTTTATAACATTAAAGTACTGCAATCAACTTAATTGCCATTTTATTTCTTTGCCTGTGGCAGTTGTCTGTAATCTAGAGTAACAAGTTCAGTGATGTTTCCTTCCGCCCCCTTAAAATCTCCTAAATCTCTTACCTTATCTGTCCATAGGTTCTGATTTAATGTTGATATTAGAGCTTGAACACTACTGTATTTTACTGATATAAACTATTTGTATTCTTACCATTTTAATAAAAAAACGAATCTTTTCATTATTAGTATTTATATGATGTAGACAATTTCTTATTTTATATAGTCACTATTCAATATAACTATAGTGATGTAGGATAGTGCCCTGATTTAGGTCTTGCTTAATCATTAGCTCCCTGATTTACTATCAATTCATGCTATATATATTCACATTGGTTTGATTTTTTAAAATCTTCAGGTTTTCTCATCTACTTAAGACAGTCATGACAGATTAGTAAAAAAAAAAAAATGAATAGTTTAAAATAAGATGCCCTTATATAAACATTTTAAGGAATAATATGCAAAAAAAAGTTGTTCTTGCTAATATTAAATAATATACTGATATATATATGCAAAACTAGCATTTGCTGGGTAATTATTTGACCTTAGCACTAGGTCATCACAATATTAATTTTAGTCTGTCTACCTAGAAGAGCCAACAGAGAGCTGGGTGTCACTTTTCATATGCATTTAACACATGTTATATGTGGAGGGCAGTACTCATATGTGGAAAGAGGAGCATGAGAGAAACAAAACAAAGTATATAAAAACATATTTCCATACTTGATTAAAAGTATACTATACTTGTGCCATTAATTTCAAATAACTAAAAGGAAAATTATATGGTAAGTATAAAAGGGCCAACAGTAGGGGAAACCTCAACTATAGTCTACGTTAAAACTTCTAACCCCTTTTTTTATTATAGTAGTATTCCAGAATATTTGTTGTTTTAAATGAGATTCTAATTGCTTGTTATAAATGATAGCCTGTTGATGTGGCAGAGACTGCCTAATGCAAGCACAACACAAAAACTATACCAAACATATTCCTTCTTGGATGACAGAGGAATTTTCTGAAAAAGAGTTCTCAGCTTTCACATGCCATGTTCGATACAAAACATCCACTCCTGCTAAAGTAAGGGTGCTGTTAAATTGAATTGCTAAAGCTCTGAGTAACTGAAACACAAAATTTGTTGTATAAAAATTGTATTTTGAAGTTCCAAGAGTAACCAGGATTCTTTTAGTCTTCTCTTTGGTTTATCTGAGCCATCATCCAACTTTCTGTTAGAAGTAGGAACGAGGCATATGCATGAAGATCCTTTCTGAAGTTCTTTAGCTGTAGTTTCAAAAGGAACAGGTGTTATCTTTTTGATCTTTAGAACATTACTATTAGAGTTCATCCTCCTTATTACAATTTAGCAACAGTAGGAAAAATGAATTAAGTATGTTCTATAATAATACCAGCTATTAAAAACTTAGATTGGAATCAACTAAAAATATTGATGACATAAAGAAAATTTCTAGTGGACACTTATAAGAGTATTAGCCACAATGCTGTTATAATACCAGTGTCAAATGTTCAGATCCCCATACCAGCCAGCTGCCAAAAAAAAAAAAAAAAAAAAAAGCCACAGTGATTACAAGTGATTCACCCTGGAGAAATAAAAGAAGAAAAGAATGTGTGGAAGCCACTGGATTTGTAGTCAATTATCATTCCTAAACAGTTATTGCTTCAAAAATTATTTGAAATTATGCATCCAGGTGCTTAAAATATATTTCAAAATGTCAGTCCCATAACAGTCTGCTACTTTTTCTTTCCTGTCTTCCTTCCTACACATATTCCCATATATTTATGCTAGGGCCTTCTATAGGGTCTCCTCATCTCCCCAAGAGCTATACTCAAAGTTGTGTTTCTTGCAGAACAGAAATAGTTTACAACTCAATTTTCTGCCTTTTTTACTTTCCATAAAGTAGACCGGAAGCTGCCAATATAGAAAAGAATCTTCAAAATTCATGTATTTGCGTTCTTCTCCTGTATAGCTATCATAGAAAATCATAGGTTATTTAATGGCACAAACTGTTATCCAAAGCCAAATCATAAGCTATCAGAATATAACATTTTAGACTTTTAGTTAGCACTGACTTTCTCAAGTAAGGAAAAACTCTGACCTCATACTATAAAAAACAAAAAGCTCAGGATGATTAGACCACCTGTTTAAGCACCTAGGTATATTAATTCTTTGTATCTTAGTATGTTTCTACATAACAAGAGTGCTTTAGGCTAATTACCTTTAAATTTTCAAATAATTTCCTTTTTTTTTTTTCTAGGTTATTTTTCCTTCAGCAAGGGCTTTATTTGTCAGAAGGGCATTATGCTTGACCTCCAGATTTGGCTGACAGTTTACTGATGAGATTCATAACCTTTGGGTTGCTCTGATATTTTGACATATTTGGGTTCTGGGCCACATCCTGGGAGGCCACCATAACTTCTGGATTTCCCAATTAAATTTAAGAACATTTAATATATTCTTTATAAGAAAGATTTATATTAAAGTCCAAAGCATCATTATCTCAACATTTTATGACTCCCACAACATACTCAACCTCACTGTCATTATCAATGTCCTTTGAATTAACACCACTCAAAACATCTTATATCACCAACAAAATAATACATGGTATGTCAACTTGAACTCACTTCTTTCTTTCAATAAATTCTTTAATATTCTTAGTCTTTTAAGGGCGATATGAGTGTATTATATGAGTATATTGTAGTTTAGAAAAGGACATTTTTGTAATTGTTGGATTACAAAATCAGAGGATATTTCTATAATCATTGCCTTAGGTGCTCCTTAATGTTTAAGTTTTAACAGAATTCATAGAAATAAGCAACATTTATAATTGCATGATAGAAATGCAATTAAAAATATTCAAATATAAACAAGTAATAATGGAGCACTTTCTATGAGCTAAGAACTATGCAAGATGTTCTTAATAGTTCTTATTCCAAATAATGTTGTGATTCATGAGTTGAATTAATGCTGAAATGATATCTGCCAGTAGGAAGATGATAACAGCATTGTCAGATGTTAAATCCACTTCCTAAAGGTGCAGTTGAAATGTGATACAAACAATTTTTTAAAATCATTTGTTCCTTGTTCCATTACTTCATTAATTCCTAATACCAGCTTCACTTTATAGTGGCTTGTGAACCCTTACAAAACATACAGTTAAATTAAATGTCCCGGGCAGTACTGCACCTAAAGCAGAGTATAGCTTTGTGACTGAAGTGCAAGGAATCTAAGCAACTGTTCTTTCTGAGTTTTGAGGATTTAACTTAAATAGATGATTATTATACTATTTGATCAAATAATTTTATACTTGTCCCTTTCAAATTGTACTTAATTTTTTTTTTTGTAGAGTTTGCACAATTTTATTATGCTGCTTTCTTTGAGTCTCTAGGATCATAGGATGGTTTCTCCAATATGCTTATCTCTTGTCTAGTTTTACAGTTTGTCCCTTGGCTGTTTCCATATTACAACAAATGGCCTTTTCTAGTCTATGTTACTGAAATGAATTATGTATCTTTGTGTGCTATAGTAGTAACCCCAGAAACAACTTTTAATAAGTGAGACTTGGTTTCCTCTTTCACAAATATGCTCTTTAAACAGGTACAGTGCTCCCCTTGGAGGATATTATCGAAAGGAATTAGGCAAGACATACAACCTACTTAACACATTCTATTGATTGGTGTGCTTCTGTGTAGCCTAGTGGCATCTGTGAGGTTATTGGTTTGTTTGGATGTTATTTGTCATTTGTGTACAAGGTCTACACCATCAACCATCACTGCTGATCTGTTTTTGTTGTAAACGGGTCAGCCTTTCATCATACCTGCTCTTTGCCATCTTACTTATTTTAACTTTTCTTCTTTAATAATATATATAGCTATTCTTAGCCCATCACACAAAAATATTTAGTTCTCCAGATAACCAGTGATGTAGATATGATTCTTCCTGTATTATGGTGGTAAGGAGAGGAGAACTGAATCCTACAGAGATTATACTTTTTATGTGATATCAGAAAGCAAGTAAGTATCTGAGTCAAGGTCTTTGAACGCAGGTCTGTCCAACGCCAGCAACCTACTGTTAACTACTTGCTCTTTGGTCTCCTCGTTTATCTTTACCTGTGATTTGTGTAGCCATTGCCTGACGATCATAGAGTTTTCACCAGTGGGTAAACTTACCAATAAATAACGTATCTTTGACATCTCTTTGTTCTTTCTGAAGAACGTTTACTTTGAGGCTTCTTTGTTGCTTTGTGAATTTACCAAGATTTTGTCCAATTAAGGGTGTAATTCTTGAGAGTAACAGATACTCAGAGTGTTTACAAAATATATATGATTTTTATAAAGCTGCTTTCAATTAAAAGGTCACATTTTTTTCTCATAAATCATGACATTCCAGGAAATAATGTTGCCCACTCTTTTTACTACACTTGAAATTTTGAATAGCAACTAAACATACAGGTATCTTATATGTGGTTGTTAATCTAAACACTTTAATTCATGCAATTTTCATTGTTTCTCTTTTAATTTAACTCAAAAATGGTTAAGTGTGGAAATTTTAGATTAAAGCAATATATAGTACCTTCATAGATGAGCTGAAATAGTAAGTCTATGAGAATGGTGTAGTCATAGCAATAGAGTACTTAGTGTGTCGAATACATTCGAGCATGAGATGCTTAATCTTCCTGTGTACTCGAACTACTTTCTGAATTAGGTCTTAGAAGTTACTGTTTAGTGGGACCATGTAGTATCATACTCTATTATTGATAGGGTCTATTTCTCGTAAAATAAAATCTGGCCCTTTTTGGATATAAGATGGCAATTTTTTACTTTATAATAGTAAAGTTTTTTTAAAAAGTAATTTCTCTGTTGATTATTTGCTTAATGTTTTGATTGAGAGGGAGAGATATTACTTGAAAAGTTACTTGAACTCGTTTTGCATTGTTATTTTATAAGG